TCATAAAAGTATAAGGTCTATGCTAGGTGACCCATATTAGAATCAGGACACCCGCATCATTAATCTCTAGTGTTTGTGAGTGACAAACATTTGCCCACTTGTATGATCAAGGTGCCTATAAAGGGGCCCTGGGAGAAACGCAGGGCATTGGGTGCCCTTGGAGGCCCATTAGCCCGATGCTGAGCACTGCCGCCACCTGCTGGTCGAGGCGGGTTTTGCTGCCGCCTCCACCTTGCACCTGTGTGCTGCGGCTGGGATGAAGTCACCACCTGTGAACCAGAAACGTCTTCCTGTGTAGTACAGATTGAGCTTGAACCCACTATATAGCCCACCAGCTGGCACACAGGCTGGGGTTGGAAGGACTACGCATGTGTGTGATTCTTTCTCTCTCTCTCTCTCTGAGACAGGGTCTCCCTATGTATACAGATTGAGCTTGAACCCACTATGTAATCCAGGATGGGGCCACCACACCAGGTCTTGGTTACTTTCCTTGCTGCTGAGAAAAAATACCCGACACCTAAGGTGAAAAGGGGAAAGGTTTATTTAACTCAGTTTGTAGAGCTGGGGAGATGGCTCAGTGGAGTAAGTGCTTCCCTGACAAGCGCAAGGGCCTGAGTTCAATCCCTGCTTCCACCAAAAAAACCCCAAAACTCAACTCAGTTTGTAGAGGATCAGTTTATAATTGGCTGGCTGCAAGGCAGGGTGGCAACCCAGAGGAGACAGTTCATGGCACCCACCAGGAGGCCAAAGCAACAAGGGGCTTCTAGAGCATTCTTCTGCCCACTCTTATAATCCCAGCACTCGGGAAGCTGAGCCAGGAGAATTGCTGCATCTTTGAGGCCAGCCTGAACTACAAGGTGAAACCGTCTCAAAAAAAAAAAAAAAAAATTAAAACAGTAGCACTCACACCCCTAACCTTCATGTCCTTCTGCCTGGCACTGCACCATAGAATCAAGCCCAGCTTTACACTCTAGGTCCAACCACCTCTGACCGCAAGAGGCGTGTGTGTGTGTGTGTGTGTGTGTGTGTGTGTATCATCCAGACACAGGCCACAACAGCCAGCATGCCTACTGTTTTGTCTACAAGTCCAGCAGCCAGGGGCCCAGCTCCCCAATTAGTCTGACACTGTCACCTCCCAGCCCCACCGGAGGCCTGGCACACTGGCCCCTGGGAAGGAGGCAGTGAGTGGGAGTGGGGTAAGGGGTCCTACCTGGTGTGACATCTGAGATGGCACTCTGGGATGAAATTCACTAAATGCTGAATATAAACTTGTCTTTTTCCTACTAAGACGGAAAGAAATTCTGTCTAATACTCTAATTCCAACTTGCAGGTGAGATGAGAAATTGACTCACTAAATGAGCAAAGTATTGAAATTTTAAATATTTAAAACCACATTATTCTAAAGGAGAATTTTATGTGGAAACACTACTTTTCCACTCATGGTTTTTAAGGTTTATTCCAACTTTTCACTTCTATTTCTGCTTTCCAGTACCATGTCACAGCCGTGTCTTTAGCCGGGCATGGTGGTACAGCCTTCTAATCCCAGGACTTGGGAGGCTGAGGCAGAAAGACTGCCATTATTTTAACACCACCCTGAGCAACACAGCTCAAGGCCAGCCTGCAGCGCATAGGGAGACCCTGTCTCAAAATAACAACAAAAATCATGTCTTCTCTAACCCCTACCTCAGGTTCCCTATCACTTTTCTTGAACTTTCACCTATACACCAAGCAACTCTCTTCTCTATAGTTCAGATTGGCTTTGAGCTCTGGGCAATCCTCCTGCCTCAGCCTCCCAAAAGCTAGGATAAGAGGTATGCACCATCAGGCCCAGCATGGAAGTGTTTTTGAACCTCTGAACTGACAGCGTTATTTCAAGCCTTAAGCATGATTACCATGGTTGCTTTTCATCTGGGTGGATGAGTACGTGGTGCCCTCCACCCCGGGATGCCATGGAATTGTGTAGAACGCTCTCCTGTTCTTCCACATTCCCTTTTCCTGCTCAATTTCTCCCCACAGCGCCTCCTACCATCTGATACACTTGCTTCCCAGTGCTGGATCAAGTTACAGCCCCAGCCACTGCCCAGCTGTATTTCAAGACAGGAGTTTGTTAAGTGTTGTCCACGCTAGCCTTGAACTTCTGACCCTCTGCCTCAGTCTCCTGAGAATCTGGGACCAACAGATGTCACACTGGGCTTTTTTGTTTTTTTTTCTAGATTCTTTTTATTATTTTGAGGCAGGATCTCACTCTGTATCCCTGACTAAGCTGCTCTTGAACCAAGAGATCCAGACCAACACCCCCAGTCAGGATTCCAGTTGGCACTGGGTGGAGGATGAGCAGCACCCATTCCGGGCCATCCCGGTCCAAGTGCGTCACACAGTCCAGTCACCCAGCTCAGTTAGCAAACTCACAACTGCTATGGTCCTGAAGTGAGAAACAAAGGCTAGGAAACCTCTGAGGCAGAGGGAGACTACAGACTGTGGAAACAGGACACAAATTTGGTATCATTACGGATTTTGTTTTTGAGCTGGGTGTGGTGCTACATGCACTTAGAAGGCTGAAGCAGGAGGATCACTGTAAGTTCGAGACCAGCCTGGGCTACAAAATGAGCTCAAGGCCAGCCTGTATTGCAGAGAGACCCTGTCTCAAAGACAAAAATAATTTTGTTTTTACCCCCAAAAGCTGGGGCGATGGCTCAGTAGTAAAAGCACTTGCCTGGCATGTGCAAGGATCTGAGTTCAATCCCCAGTTCTGCCAAGAAAAAAAAAAAAAAAAAGCTTTTTTTTTGGACCTCAAAGAACAATTTCAAATACTTTCAAAATTAAGAGCTACAGCCAGGCATGACAGCCTCTTGCACTTGGAGGCTGAGGCAGGAAGATCTTTGTGAGTTAGAGACCCAGGCTACAAATTAAACTCAAGGTCAACCTGAACTGCATAGCAAGACCTGGTCTCTAAAAAGACAAAAGAAAAAGGGCAGGTGGAGGAGGAACTAAATGCCTAGCAAACTCAAGCCTTCCTTCTTGCCAACTCCTGAGCCAAGAGGGGAACCCCTCAGACTGAGAAGCTGAGGGACCTGTGAGATCTACGACCAAATATTCTCTTGTATCTGCTTCCTACTCAGTAGCTACAGAGGCCCAGAGATCAGGGCCTGTTTGAGCCAGGGCACCAGTAGCTTCTCAATTAAATGCATCTCACAGGAAGGGTGCATTTGGGGTACAGCTCGTCTCCCTCTTCACCTCAGATCCAACCAAAGAAACAATCAAGACTCACACTGGCAGGAAACCTAGCTGAGGAAGACCCAGGGTCAACCAGGAGCAGTCACAGCAGGAGCTTACTGGAGGGAGCACTTAACTGTTGGGGTCGGGGGCATAATCGCAGCACTTTAGAAGGCTAAAGCAGGAGGATAACAGGGTTGTCCCCCCCCCCAACAATTTACAGAGCATTCCCCCTAAAGGGAGACAGGGAAGGTGCTCTGGTAGAGCACCCCTGGGTTTGATCCCCAGAAGATACACACATACATACACTACTGCCAAGGATTTCCTTTTATGTACTTTTGTCACTGGTGTACTAGGATCTGAGACCCTAGGGTTGCAGCACACACTCTCAGAATGAAGGCTGGACTTGTCAGAGGCATTAGGCAGCTGCCTTTAACTCCAGCTACTCAGGAGGCTGAGGCAGGATTCCAAATTTAAGGTCTATCTGCATAACGTATCCAGGCTCTTAACTCAAAATAAAAGGGGACTGGGCATGTAACTGTGCAAAGGCCCTAGTAGTGGAAAATAAAATGCAAACTTTCCCCTGCTTCCAGCTGAGGCCAGATTAGAGTCGTGCGTAGGAAGAAGGTTTGAAGGTGCCACACCTTGTCACCTGTGCTTGGAAGCCAGGCAGCAGCACCCCCTGTGGGTGAGGAGAGTTTAGGCACAAGTCTTTGGGTGCAGGAAGGAGGGGGAGCTTGCTCCTGCTCATAGGCCTGGGCGGGACTGCAGGAGCAGGGCCCTCCTTGGGGAGTGTCACACCTGGGAGGGAGGGCAAAGGGCCACATCCTCAGCTACCACACCTACCAGGCAGAGTCCTAGTGACCAGGCCAGCCTCTGCGTCCGGGCCCTTGGGGGTAAGTGTCCTGAACCCACTCACCCTGTCGTTTCCTGGGGGCTGTTGAAATCTCCCACTCTAGGGGTTCAGACACTCTAACCATGGGCTGGCTCTTAGGGTAGGCAGTGGCCAGCACCCCTGCCACCTCCTTACTATGGCCTGAGGCCCCTTGGTATCCTGTCTGGTGGACCAACCACTCACTAGACACAGGTACAGCCTGCCTCAGCCTCCTTCTTTGCATCAAAGCCAATGCCAAGGTGAAACCCCTCATTCAGGCAAGCTTCAAACTTCCATCCTGTCACCCTACAGAGCCCAGGATCCCCTGGAGCGCTGGGGGCCACGAAGCCAGAGCCCTCACTGGACCAGGTGCTCCAGGAGAGGGATGAAGCCCTTGCCAAGTGAGAGGCTGCTGTGGGAATGAGGAATGGGGGAGGTACTGGGGGAAGGGCAGGCTCACCCACAAGGGCCGGCCTGCTGGAGGGGAGGTGGGAGCCAGGCAGCCCTGGAGGAAAACCACACAGCTAGAGCCTGAGCTATCCCTGTGCCTGCAGGAAGCAAGCGGTGGAAGCCGAGCTGGACATATGCAAGGCCAGGCTACGTGCTGCAGAGGCCCAGCTGTTGGAGGTCCTAGAGGAGAAACTGAGGCTGAGACAGGAGGTGGAGGCCTGGGAGGTAGGATGGGGTGCTGACCGGGCCTGGGAGGGGTGAGGGTGTGGCCAGGCTAGCTCTGACCCTGTTCTCTCACTCCAGGAGGACATGCAGCAGCTAGTGGCGAAGCTGGTGCAGAGTCAGCTGCAGAGCGAGGCCAGGGGTGCACTGGGCGCCCGTGGGGATGCTGGTGCTACCAGGAGCCTCTGGGCCCAACATCGGGGTCAGCAGGGCCGATGGTGGTGAGAGCCCAGCTGAGAACTTCAGAGGCACTGTCTTTATTCATTAAAGCAGGAGGTCTGACTGTCTCTGCACATGGATGCCCACTCAGGGCCTGCCTGAGTCCTTCAGTGTGGTGAGATGAAACCGGATGCAGGGACAGGAAGCCCAGGGTCTCCTGGCCCCTCTTGAAGGGGCAACTTTCAAGCCAAGAAGCCTTTCACTGCAGCCATGAAGTCCTGTGGGCGGTCAGCATGGACCCAGTGACCTGCATTAGGCACGGTCTGCATCTGTGCCCGAGGGAACAGCCGCTTCATTTCAGGGTGGTGGCTGGGTCTGGTCCAGGGACAGTGTCCAGAAGGGGGCCAGTGGGTGACAGACAACGAAAGGGGAATGGGAAGAGACAGAGTCATGAGCTGGGGCACATGGCATTCCTGGGCTTCTCAGACAACCCACCTGTCCCCAGCCCTCACGTGGTCTGCCTTACTTACTGCACGAATGCAGAGTCTCCACCAAGGAGAAAGAGGGTTGGGCCAGAGTAGGATTCCTGTCGCTGCGGGAAGGCCAAGATCTTGTCCATGTGCTGGGCCAAGGCGTCTAAGTTCACTCTCCAACCAAAGCGCTCCTTGACCTCCACCAGGTTGGTAAGCAGGAACTGCCGCACAGCCACATTCTGTGGTGGCAGGTATAGCAGTCAGGGGGGCCCGAGGTGAGGCCTGGGCCACTGATCGTCTTCCCTTGAAAGGTGGGTCCTAGGCTACATCATGACAGGGAGCAGGGGCGCATCACCTGGATCATGTGGCTGAGCTGCACGTCAGCCAGTTCCCGGGCACGGGAGCGGGGCAGCTCATCTGGGATGTCCACAGCTTTCATGGCTGCCACATAGGTGGAGAAATGTGACAAGGAGGTGTGTGTCACTGGGCTGATGTCCACAGGCATCAGACGGTCCACCAACTCGGGCTGTGGGAGGGAACCAGAGCTTGGGACTGTGTGCAAGACAGGCACAAAGGGTCCGCAGTCCTAGGTTACGTGCTGGGCACCCAGGGTCTACACTGGCTATCAGGGGTGCTAGTGAAGATGCTCACCCTCTGCAGGGCCAACAACATGGCTGTCTTTCCGCCCATGCTGTGGCCGATGAAGACGCAGGATGCCAGGCCGAGCTGGGGCAGGAGGTCCTGCAGGTCCTGGCTCATGGCCTCATAGCTCACATCTGGACTGTGGGGGCTGTCACCATGGTTCCGAGCATCTACGGTCAGCACCTGGGGATTTGGGGAAAATGGGGTGGTACTGGGACCCACACTCTGGGTGCAGACAGAGCCACAAGCCTGATAGGGACTGCAATGGAAGGGACTTTAATGCCTGGGGCAGATCCTGATGAGGGAGGAGCCAGGGCCCAGACTAAAGAGGCCCCATGAAGCAGCTGGGACCACTCTGCCAGAAAGAAGCAGCCCAGGGTGTGACCACGTACGTATCTGAAGGTCTGGGCTGCTTAGGTAGCAACCCCGGAGAAAGCAAGGAGACTCCAGGGCTTTCCAGTCGGAGCACAGGTGACAGTTAAGAGGTGGTCGTCCCTTCTTTGGGAGGTGGTTGGTGGAGGGTAGCTGTGTGAAGCACACAGGAGATCTACAACGGCAACAAGATCTGGACAGGCTGCAGTGTGTGGCAGTATGAATGGGAGTCCATGCACAGTCTGGGTCCCCTCTTCTGGCCTCTGTTCTTGGAAAGACTCCCCATCTCCCGTACCTCCAGCGCTAAGGATTGGATCCAAGGGCTTTCCAGCTAAACTACATTCCTAGCCAACTTTTACTCTTTTTAAAAGTCATTAAACTGCTTGGGAAGGGCTGGGATTACAGGGTTCCGCCACCATACTGGGCTCTCTTTCCACTCTACTGCGGTCGAGTTTTAACCTTAAACTCGACCTGCTTCCCTGTAGCGAAGCCTCTTCCCAAGCCCCGCCCACCACCCCGCCCCACCCGGAAGCTCACCCTCCGGCCAGTTTGCTGGGCCAAGGCCTTGGCGATGGAGTTAAAGTTGGTTTTGCTGCCGAAGAGTCCGTGCAGGAGAACGATGGCCGGGAGGGACGCTTCTCCATCCAAAAGCTTGTAGGATAGCGGTAGCGGCCTGGAAAGAGGGGTCCAGGATTTTTTTGGGGGGGTGGAGTCAATGGGAGGCGGAGCCTGGAGAACCGCCCAGCGGAGGGCGGGGTCCAAAGGAGAAGCCGGAGGGGGGAGGGGTGCAGAGACTCTCCTCGCAGCGTCCTTGCCTGACCTCGGCTCGGTGTTCCCTTGGCCACTGCCGCTACTGCTCCGGAGCGCTTTGGGTATCCTCGAGGATCTGGGCCTGCAGAGCCTTAGCGCTCCGTCAAAGGCTTTGCAGGCGCGCGCCGAGCGGAGCATAGCTACGACCGGCGTCCAACGCGCACCTCGACGTCCAGCGCATGCTCCACCTCCCACGCTAGCGAGGAGCCCCGCCCATTTCCGTTCGTAGCCCCACCCCCTCCATTGGCGTCCCCGCCCACACGGTCCCCGCCCCAACAAGTGGCTTTACGCAATGCCGGAAAACAGTACGTCCCAATCCCCGCCCCTGCGCCGTTGCGTAATCACGCATGCCCCCCGCAGAGCCCTGCTGTCGCTGTCCCACCCTGGGCGGGGCCGCTCTGCGAAGGTTCTGGCCAAGCAGCTTTCCTCAGCCCAGCGATCTGGGAATGAGCTCAGCACGGCGTAGTTGCTGGGGTGAACTGGCTGCGGGCGGCTGCGGGGCGGGACCATGTGACCAGCCCCCGCCTGGCCCGGCTCTTTGTCCTCGCGCATGGCCCACGGCGGGTGCCATGCTTTGTGTGCCGCGGGCACGGACGACAGGCGCCAGGGGTGGCTCGCGTCGGCGCGCCAGCGAGGTGGCGCCCTGCTCTGCAGCCGGAGGCCCTGGTAGGCTCGACGGAGCACGGCCCTGACCGCGCCAGGTCCCCTCCGGAGCTCGCGAGGAGGGGCGCCCCCCACCCCCCACCCCTTTACAGATAGAGAAAGGCCAGAGACCGCAGATGAGTGGGCAGTCGGATTGATCGCTGATGGCGTAGGCGTCACCCCGGGAGGTGTCTGTACTCCAGCCCCAGTGGCCAGGGTCAGCACCCGCCTCAGCATGGAAATCGGCGAGGTTGTTTGAGGTCGCGGCAAACCCCGGCTCTTCTAATTTTCATTTTGAGACGGGGTCTCACCAAGTCGTTCATTTGTCCAACTTGGGCTCGGACTTGGAATCCTGCCTCATCTTCCCAGAGTGCTGGCATTATAGGCTCTTGCCACCCCACCACCATGCCACCACGCCTGGCTCTTGTCTCTCTGCTGTGTCTTCCTCCTAAGGTAAAATAGAAGAAATAAAGATAGGTAGAAAGAACAAGAGGAATAGGGGAATTCAAAAATCGTACTTTTGGGCCAGGGAGATGCACAAGGGCCCGAGTTCAATCCCTGGTTCCGACCAAAAAATAAATTAATTAATTAAATAAAATCTTACTTTTAAGAAAAATTGCAGCCTCAGATCACAAAGCTATTTAAGCTCTTTTCCTTCATAGGATTTTTTTTTTTTTTTTAAATCCTGAAACACTTAAAGAGTGTAAATTGGGCTCTGGGTCTGTGCTTCTGGCCTATAAATTACACTTCCTCCTTTATGCAGTACTTCCACCTTGAAGGAAACAGCAGCCTTAGTGGGTAGCAGCATTTCACAACACACGTCAATGGTTGGCATTCTGACACGGCTCTCCAGATGGCTTAGTTATGTGACAGACAGTAGCAGTACACATCCCAGATCATCCTTCTTGCCTGGAATTCATGGCACTCTTCCTGCCTCAGCCTCCTGTGTTGGGAATACAGGGCTGCGTCACCACACCCAGCTCCTAGATTGACCATTGTATTCTTTTTTTTTTTTTTTGTATTCTTTTTAATTACTTAAATTTATTGGTACATTTTAGGCATACATAATGATCACATTCATCACAGGGAATATATACCTGTACATGCTATAACTATTCTTTTTTCCCATTCCCTTCTCCCTTCAACCACTCTTCCACTCCTTATTCATAAAAAGCTTTCTTTCCATTTTTTACTTTTCTCTTTTTTTCTTCTCTCTCTCTCTCTCTCTCTCTCTCTCTCTCTCTCTCTCTCTCTCTGTCTCGTTTCTCACACCACTATTGAAACGTGTGTCTGACTTATTTCACTTAATTATGGTTTCAAAGTGCATCTGGTTCCCTAGAACTGTCTGAAATTTGTCCCTTTATGGCTCAGTAGTACTCAGTAAAACACACACACACACACACACACACACACACACATCTTTATCCATTCACTGGCTGATAGGGCATTTGGATGGTTTCCAAGATTTAGCTATAACAAACTCTGCTGCTATAAACATGGGTGTACATATATCATTGTGGTATGATACTTTTATTTCTTTTGGGAAGATACCAAAAAGGGAAATACCTGGACCCAAGGGAACCTCTAAACCTAGTTTTTTGAGGATAGACTACCCATTTTGAAGACAGTTGTAAACCCCCAAAATATACCCAGCTACAGATCACAAGGGACCTTACTCGAGGGCTTGTACTCTTTCTTTTTCTTTTTTAAGGCAAGGTCCCAGGTAGGGCAGGCTGGCTTTGAACTTGCTTACCAATTTCTTTTTTTCTCTCTTTTTTTTTTTTTTAATTTTATTTATTTGTGTGTGTGTGTATGTGTGTGTGTGTGTGGCCAGCTCAGCTCACCAGGGGGCGAGGCTGGCTGGCATGTGGTGCTGGAGGATTGAACCGTGGTCCCTGTGCTTTGCGAAGCTTGTTCTAAGTAGGTGCTTTAGACCACTGAGCCATCTCACCAGCCCCTTACCAATTTCTTTGTGTGCTTACTTTTACAATTTCTAATAAATCCCTTTATAACTCTTATGTCCTGAACATTTTTTCAGTGATGGGTAGAATCGAATGTGCAGCTTAGTTCTGCTGGTAGGGTGGGCTTAGGCAACTCCTAGGACCCTGTATTGGTGACCCTTCCAGCTATGTCATTAGTTGCAAAGTCGCATACACCTTACAGGGTCCAGTGCAACAACCACCTTCTCGGGGCTTCCCCGATTTCCTGCCTTGAAAGCACCCCAAGTGCATTGGTCAGCGCACTGCGCAGTCATATAGGACCCACTTCCCCTGTTGTCCACCTGGGGACTCTCAGAGGACCAAGGCTGTTTTGTGCAAAATGTGAGTTTACCAATGCACAGGGGAAGGTTGCTGGAGGCTGCACTGCTGTCTCCATGCACCTCCTTAGGGCAGGCCTGAAGTGCAGCCTGCTGCTGTTCCCTCCAACCTCGCCTGTGGGGACCCTGCAGGTGCTTTATTCTAATCTGCGGTCACTGGGGACTCTAAGCACCGCAGGCGGTATGATCATTTGTTGGCAACAGACTTATTAGGCGTGATGGGGACACCTGAGCCCTCCGTGTACCTGGCCTGAGGCCCAGGAGGGGGCTTCCTCCCAGGGTGTTATTCTAGTTCCAAGGGCAAAAGGAGGAGAGTTAAAGATTCAGAAGCACAGTAGGTCCAAGGTGTTTTCTAACAGCTCCTGTCCTGTGTCAGCCTAGTGTCCAGCTCAGCAGCCTGAGGCCAGCTGGTGACCTTTGACCATCTACCCAGGAGCCCAAGGCCTAGGTCTAGCTCGAGTAAACTCAAGAGTCCTGGCCCTGCAGCTGGCCTCACAAGCAGAAAAACCTGTTCGTTGTGGTTTCCGTGTGAACCTTCCTGAGCTAGCAGTGTGTGGGTCAGGGTAGGGGTCGCTACTGCAGCCCACTTTGCTGAGGAGCTGGGGAATGGTCTCCCCAGCTAGTGGGACAGGGAGGAGGCTGGCTGTTGGGTGGGGACAGTCCCCATCAGCTAAAGGGAGTGGGACAGGGAAGCCTCGAAGAGCCCTGGTCTGCTGACCTGGGTGTGGGATGCGAGTATATTGTGGCTCCCGTGTTCCCAGGAGCCCCCAGTGCCTGGGAACCACATCATCCTCATTCCACCCATGAGGGAGCTGCCCATGTGGCCCAGCTCCAAGCCACTGACCATAGTGTGGCCCAGCCTGGCTCTGTCACCTTCCAGTGTTATGCTCCCTACCCTTGTCCCCACCCTTCTGGTTGGGCAGAGGGCTCAAAGGGTGTGGTCTGCGGCAGCAGGAACTCTGTAGCCAGAGGTGGCAGTGTGGAATGGGTTAAGGCTTGGGGGGGGGGGTCCCATAACTGCACCTGACCCAGTATCGGTCACGTGGCCAGGGTTTCACCTGCCCCGCTGAGCAGGGACAATCAGCCAACTTGTTCCAAGGCCAGTCACCATGGTGACAGGAGTGTGCCTGGGGAGGTCACCGGGGCAAATTCCTGCCAGCTGGCAGGTGGGGCAGCGGTGCCAACTGTGCCGTGGCCAGTGGGGGTTCCCTGAAGACGCCTGTCGAGGGGACTGTCTTCCAGGAGCCTCTGTATGGTGGCTCATCTGCCTAGATTTTGGACCTAAGTTGATTAAACTCCAAGAATTTCCTGTGTACATTGTCTGGTTTAGTCTGAACTGAGGCAGCAGGGGTAATCCCTGTGGACGGGTTACCTGGTGACCCTTGCACAGTGACAACAGTCACCAGAGATTGGAGGCTTCTCTGGAAGTCAGGCACTTTCTAGACACAGCTGTGACCAAAACAAACCAGTCAGCCACACAACAGTGACTTGTGCTCTTCTCTCTTTCTGCTGAAACCCTGCGCCTTTCCCCTGAGCTACGTCTCTAGCTCCTTGCCATTTTATTTATTGTCTTTTCTAGATAGGGTCTCAATGTGCAGTTCAGGCTGGCCTTGAATTCACTTTGTAGGCCAGACTGGTCTCAAACTTGTGGTGATCATACTGCTGGGATTATAGGTGTGTGTCACCATGCCCAGCCCACCATTTTTTTTTTTAACACAGGATCTCACTAAGTTGCCCAGGCTGGCATCAAATCCTTGATCGTCCCCCCTCAGCCTCCCAGAGCGCTGGGATGACAGGTGCCTACCCCTTGCTATGCTGAGTGTGTTTTATCGAGAGAAGGTTAGGGAGGTCCCTGGGGACCAGCACAGGTGGGGACTTCACACGCAGCTGAGCTCAGGTGGCCAGAACATCTCAGGCATTCTCTGCCACCTCTCTGCCATTTCTGCACCCCACCTGCCACCTCTTGGGCCTGCAGATTCATCCCTGGTTTCAACCCTGGCACCGATGCCTACAGAGGGATTGCTAACATTAATACTTGTCAACTTTATGGTCCGCCACCAGACCCAGGTGCAGGTCCTTGTGTCCCCAGAAATGTGCTCATCACACCTGTAGAGACTTACAGTGGATAGGATGGGGGCACTTCCTTTTGGAGTGAATGGGGACAGTAGAAGGATATCTTTTCAGCCCTTTTTATTTTTATTTTTATTTTGAGGCAGGGCCTTGCTAAATTGCCCAGGCTGGGCTTGTACTTGC